AACAGGTTTTGTAATGGTTTCAACAATGTCTGATGAATGGCATGCTACAATCGCAGTATATTGATATTACCGCATGATACAACTGTTTGGTTGACCAAACGACTCGAGTGTTGATGGATTACTATGCCAATCGACTGTTTTGACCCAATATCACCACACTTGACATACCAACACATGCGACATATGATGGAGTGTGTAATTGCAGTTTGATTGATTCAATGTTGTGTTACGACATCAGTCACCATGTGGGTTATAGTTTGTATATCCAACAACACATTAGAGTGATTGATTGTCGTTCCGATTGATCGAATGTCAATATGTTTGTACAACAGTTTGGTAAAACCGACTGTCTGTGGATTATTATCACACGAGTCAATGCTGACCTGATTTGGGATATTCAGTGTTGTTGGAATATCAACACAACATCAACACCAAACATCAGATCGACACTGCACGTTGATGTTGATGAATGCAACAATGGCTATTGAAACAATACATCATAATGCGTACAAGTCGCAGATTGCAGTTCAAACTCAATGCAAAATACACATTGTTACAGTTTGGTCATGAACAAAGCGATACGCACAATGTGCAGTCCATGTCTACGACTCGACTGATTGGTAGACAACGACCATTTGCATTGTTGAGCAGTAAACTGAACAGTAAATGACCATCAAACGCATGGCTTGGTATTGACATTCAAGCAATCACCATGATTGTGTTAAAGATTTTGATTATCGCGCAAGAAGTATAGAGATAGAAAATATAGAAAGAGACTGAGTCTTTCAATTAGTAAAGTATAAGGTAATAATATATAATCTGCCGCTGTAGAAAAGATCGGTCAGAAGAGATCTTGAATGATAATCAGGAAGTAGTCACGCAAATGAAAGTCAACAGAATAAAGAGTTAAACTTAATAGATAATAACGGAATTATGTCAGATGATATTTAGATGATATTTAGAAGATTGATTCAGAGGATGGTTTATTTAGTAAGAAAGTATCTTGGCTATTATAGTAATTTAGTTAAGGGAGTGAGTGGAGAAAGTGGAGATATAATATCTCCACTTTAAGCTTTGCTTGTAAAGCGGCAATGTTTGATTGCTTCAACAAAGGTCTGATTTCTTTAACACCCCTCCTCGCCTTGAACGGCTCTCAGTCCAAGTAGATCTGAGAATTGGGCAAAGGCGATCCTTGGAAGACCTTTTGTCATGATGTCCGCGATCTGATCTTGAGTTCTAATATACCTGACTAGTATATTCTTTTGCGAGACTTGGTCGCGTAGGAATTTAAGCTTGACGTCCATATGCTTAGTTGTAGCATGATTGGGTGCTTGATTTTCCGTGTTGGCAATTGCTGATTGTGAATCGGAGTAGAGTATCGTAGCTCTTTCTTGAGTTAATCCGAGTTCACTAAGCATGTTGCGTAGAAATAATAATTCTTGAGTGGCAGTGACAGCGGCTGCATATTCAGCTTCCATAGTTGAGATAGCTACAGAAGTCTGTTTAGTAGATCTCCATAATATACAGCTATTGCCTAGAAAGCAAGTGTATCCGGAGGTGCTTTTCCGAGAGTCTACATCTCCTGCCCAGTCTGCGTCACAGTATCCTACCAGAGTGGTGTTATCCCCTCCTAGCGTAAGAGAATAATTAAGTGAGTATTTTACGTATCTTAGTATACGTTTAACAGCAGTCCAATGTGTATCGTTTGGATGGTGCATAAATCTGGAAACTTGACCGATGGCAGCGCCGAGATCTGGTCGAGTAGCAACCATTGCGTACATCAAAGCTCCAACTGCTTCGCGATAAGGAGCGTCGGTAACTGGTTCCGTTGGGAGAGATGCAGTCAAATTGGTGCCAGATTCTATTGGTGTTGCAACTGGTTTGCAGTCCAACATGTAAAATCTTTTGAGAACATTTTTCAGATAGTGTTCCTTTTGACTTGTAGTGGTTGGTAAATTCTCAACCATTCTTTGTTCCACCGCAGCTTGAATGCTCGGCTCAGACGCGTCAGCAGTCTCTGATATCGCTCCTGGATATTCAACTGTGACCGTCGATTTTATGGGAGCAGCCATCATGGCTCTGTCCCTGTTCATAACGTCAACTGGACGTTCCTGAACTTCTTTCCTCGAACCTTGAGACTTCGATCTCGATTTACGGTTCGGTTTCCTATAACCGGCCAGACTCGACTTATTTAGCGATGTCTTGATAGCCTTATTTTTGCTGATGGCACGCCCTAGTAACCCCTCCTGAGTTATGCGTCCATGGCTTGTTTTAATATTGGTCCCGCGATCTGCTACAGTCATTCTTGCTGTATTTCTTGCAGTCTGTACTACTATTGGTACTTGTCGCCGACCTGATTTTGATTCCCCTCCAGTTAGCGTACTCGCGCGATATGGAATTTCTGGAATTTCTGGTGTTTCTGGACTTACCACATTATCTATCACAATAGGTACAGACGGTGTAAAGTCATCGCCTAGATTGTAGCTATGAGTAAATAATGGTGCCCTTGATTCTGTTTCTTTATCTGCTGCGATCTTCCAGAGATTTGCATCCGGGGCAGTCATGGCTTGTTTCCAATTCGATGGAAATATTGATGTAGTTGTACTAGCAGAAAAGAGACTTGAGTTCATGTAATCAACGTCTGGTTGCCTTTTGTAATAATAATATGGTCCCTGAGTTTTACTTTTAAGTGGTGTGTCTTCCACTTCGGAATCGGGTTGAGATAGTTCCTGAATCCGGGGACTTGAAGCGTTGATTGCTTCATTAGAAATAAATTGCGTAGACTCTGCAACGACTTTTATATTTGCCTTTGGTTTCTTGATACCGCTTAGGCTTGATTTACGTACGGAGGCGTGAATTTGTTTGTTCGGAATGAGAATTTCGCAATCGATAATGTCTAGTGTGCCGACTTTGTGTGCACGTAGAACTTCGACATTGTCCTTGGTATAGAGGACAGCTCCTTGTTTATTGAGCTTAGTCCAGCATCCAAACTCGACAGCTAGTTTCCCTGGAGAGATTAGATTGACCTCGAATCCAGGAACATATAGCACGTTATTGATAGTAATAACGCGACTGGCTTTTCCATTCCAGACTTTGAGTTGGAGCGATCCTTTGCATTCGGCATTTGTAGCCGTTTTCATTGAACCTTTAACGCTGTGGTTTTGCAATGGTACTGTATTAGACAGCCAGTTCTTGTTGCATACCATATGAGTGGTAGCACCCGAGTCAAGAATGATCTCGTTGACACTGTTTCTGCTGATACTGCAGTAGTCTGTTTTTGCTGAAACCATGGTGTTGTGAAATAAGAAGTCATCATTAGCATTTGAATTAGCGCATGGCGTAGATGCGTAGTTGCTATTTGATTTTCTGTTATTCGAAAACTGAGCACGACAGTCTTTAGTTGTGTGGGTCCCTAGTCTTCCACAGTTATTACATAGTACCTTTTTCTTGCCGTTTGGCCAGTACGATGAATTGTTGGAGTTTTGAACGTTCTGATGAGAATCGTTTGAGTTATCTCCGTTGTTAAAGCCTCTGAAGTGTGGCTTGTTATTGTAATTTGATCCAGAGCTATTCTTGCTGTTGTTAGATCTTCTTAAGTTATTGTTAGAATGTAACGCGACTTCGGCGTTGTCTAAAGATGGAAGTAGCATGACAGTGATAAGTTGCTGCTCTTCGTATGCCAACATTGTCCTGATGTCAGCTGTTGCATAATTTGATTTAGTAAAGCTGTCAAATCTGGTACGCATGTTGCCCCAATGTGAAGATCCTTTTAGTAGTTTCCTCAAGAGTTTTCGTACATAATCCTCATCGGACCATTTGACGCCAATTTGTGACAATAGTTTCCGTATGTCAAACATTTCGTCGTATAGTTGCTTAACACCGACCTGGGTGTCGTATACTATTAAGTCGAGCTCGTCTTCGAGCTCTAGTTTTGCGCTCATGTTGCCTGTTTCGTGATGTTTCTTTATGGCAGCGAAACTGAGGTGAGCTGATAGAGGAATACCGTTGAGGTCCTCTGCTAGTTTTTCATTGTCCTTGCTTAGTGTGGCAGATATCATGCTATAAGCTTTGGCATTGTTGATCAGGTACGGCTGATCGGGTTTACTGGGTGGTTTCGCAATAATATGTGATTCCCAAAGATTGAAGTGCCTTAGTGCAGCTTCGATAAGTACGAGCCACTTTTGGTAGTTGGCTCTCTCCAGACGTGGAACATGCAGTCCTTCTGCAAGTTTGATTACGTGACTTCCGACTGGGCTCATAACCTGTTAAAGATTTTGATTATCGCGCAAGAAGTATAGAGATAGAAAATATAGAAAGAGACTGAGTCTTTCAATTAGTAAAGTATAAGGTAATAATATATAATCTGCCGCTGTAGAAAAGATCGGTCAGAAGAGATCTTGAATGATAATCAGGAAGTAGTCACGCAAATGAAAGTCAACAGAATAAAGAGTTAAACTTAATAGATAATAACGGAATTATGTCAGATGATATTTAGATGATATTTAGAAGATTGATTCAGAGGATGGTTTATTTAGTAAGAAAGTATCTTGGCTATTATAGTAATTTAGTTAAGGGAGTGAGTGGAGAAAGTGGAGATATAATATCTCCACTTTAAGCTTTGCTTGTAAAGCGGCAATGTTTGATTGCTTCAACAAAGGTCTGATTTCTTTAACAAATATCAATATATTATCTGGTTTGAGTCCAGCAGCAGAGTATGTCAAGTCCATGGTGCAGATTCGCATTTGTGTTCCGCACCATATATTGTTGAAGCCATCTTGGATAATAGTTCTGGTCAAAAACGAAAACAACGACTGAGGAAAATCAAATTGTCCAGCAGTGTTGATGGATTGTTGTTGAACGATAGTCCGACTTTAAAAGATTTAGCATATGCTGCGATTCGTCAAATATAACACGACCGTCTTTTAGGAACCATGATTTCAACTGTTGATAGACGTTACCAAACGCAGACCAAGGAAGCTTAGATAGATGTTTGAATATTTTACAAAAGAGTACACCAGTTTGTATACTTGTTTGAATGCATAGTCATGTAAAAGGCTTGAGATCGGGATTTGATCCACGAAGTGTTTTCAGAACAAAAATACGAGCAGAAATCAAACACTGGATCAGTCTTTTAGATTGGTATTCAAAGACTGATTGATTCTTGTCCGTCTTTTTGGCAGGTTCCAACTGTGCCAACTTGTCAATCATTGCACTGAAATCAGGTCGATAAAACAGTCAAATACACAATATCGACACAAACCATAGCAGGTTGTTGTTCACATCCACTGACACCAATCATGACAATATTGTGTAGTTGTCAGTCTGTCGACTGGCATTTCTATTCCGATTTGTATGTTGCCAGAATAGACTTTTGAATACAAAACATTAGGGATTGTGTCAATGTCTTTGATGTCGATGTTCATGATGGTTTGATCCAGATGAATGGTTTTGATTGAATGTTGGACACACAACAGTTGTGTTCATCATACAAGTGTATCGACTGGACAAGGTTCACAAGAGTGGTTTGTAAAGTGAGTTCATGTCCATTACAGTGTCTAGTGTTGATGATACAGAGTTTGACCAGGCATAATGTGTTGGATTTGATGAGTGGATCAGTTCCAGTGGTTTGATCTAGTCCAAGAACAGCAAGACAATACCATGAATTGCAAGTTATTTCCACTCCATCAACAACAAAGTGGAAAGTAAGGAGTTGATGGTCGACTGGAATACCAACAAGCCTTTTAGTTGTCTCAATGATGGTGGTTGCGACCAAGTCAACAACAGGCTGTTGTTCAGCAATAGAACCTGTTGGCTTGGTCGCAGATTACAAGACAGGATCACTTTTGGTCGATACACTAACTGAATATCCACTCTGTGATGGATCAAGTCGAGACCAACTACAACGCATGGGACTCGCTTGCTGCACTTGTAACAAATGGGACTGTTGGATCCAGTCCACTCATCATCAAATCCAAGAATGATGTTGGCTCAAACCCAACAATCACTGATTCATACAATTATTTCAAGAAAACTATCCAGATCAATGGTATCAATGTTTCTACAAATCATCTCAAAAGACCTGATCAACTTGACAAACTCACATACTTGGTTTGAGTATCGGTTTGTCATATTGACTTGTTCATCTGATTCTGCAAAACCTATATTCATTAATATGTATCAACATAGTCTCAAACAAATGTCATTTGGATTTGTTTCTTGGACAAGATTGCACGACACTTTTGTTGGAAATGCATTGATTGTTCCAAACAACAACGGATAGAATTGGAAAAAGTAAAACTGTTGTTTCTTGATGATGCTCAACAGTAATTACAAGACACAAGTTTATGGAGACTTTTAATCAAAGCATCGCTGAGTTGGTTGCCATTAAGCATGCGATTTATCATTGCATCAAACCATCTTTTTGTTGGAGGAATTTCAAGTCCTGTTGAACTCGGTAGTCTTTCAGGTCTTGAAAAGTGACTTTCTACTTATTCCAGCCAAACTCTGTGAATTCCATGAATTTCTGGATTTACTCGTTATTGGATTGCCAAACAACATGAACAATGAGACCTTGAAACATGTTCTTGTAACGGAATGTGATGGTCTTGTTGGTGCGCTGTGTGTGTCGATTGATGATCTAAAAACACAATGTCTAAACAACATTGAACCCACTCGAGCAAATCTACTACAATACTGTCTATCAAACAATTCCATGTTGGGTATGACTCGTTGTTTTGGAAGCGACCATTCAGATCTGATTAGAAATGGTTTTAAACTGTTACTCAAGAAATGTCTGACAAAAATCATCGATTGGACAACTTGGAAACCCAGCAAAATATGGAATCTTATTCATCACTCAAAAGGCTGGAATATTGATGGAGTCGTCCGACCTTGAACTTGCTTTTACTTTGCTGTTGGTCAAAAAATACTATTCAAATGGACATTCACAAACTGCTTTCCATCACAACATTTGTCTCTTCAAAAACTCATACGCAATGTTGTCTCATCAATATCGACCAATGTATTAGAATCTGTTTCGTCATGCGGTTTTCCAAATGAAACAACTTTACAGCACATGTTTATGGAGATATTGGTTTACTTGACTAAACCAGACTGTTCAATCTAACCAAAACTATCAAAAGTATTTCCCAACAACTCGAATGTGACGGACACTATTGCTGGTGGAATTGATTATTATTTGGACAATGAACTAGTAATCAATCAACACATTGACAGATTTGTCATCCCAAATGGAAACAACGACAATCCAGTTGTAATCCATATTGAGCCTTGAATTCAAACAGTCGTGAATCAAATCATTAATAAACTACAAAAACAGTCCAATATACCAACTCGCATTTATCCACAACTCGATACGTGATGTTCAAATGTCTAATATTCAGACTGTGCTGATTGCAATTGTGGTTGTAATTGTGGTTGTGTGTAAATATCAATCCAATACTCGATTCAATACTTGATTCAACTTGAGCATGTCCAGTTTTGTAGTAATCCATTTGATCACATTGACAGAATCAAGCAATGATCTGATTCAACAACACCGAATGATGCATCCATATCACTTGTATCAATCAATTGTACACAATCAGTCAATATAATCAACAATCACTGTCATGATTGACATGATTGATTCAATTCATTCAATTGTATAGATCCGACTGGCATTGCAACTCATTGTTGTAAAATCACAACCTCACAATCCATCATCAATTATCAAGATTATACACCCGCTCATATATGTCCTTGTTGTATACCGCTGTGATTTGAATTCGGTCACTTGTCAATTCATCTCGATAGTGTTTGGCTTCAGCTGGTGATTGAACACCTTGAATATACTGCGTGATATCATTCCACAGCTCAGGAGGTACGTGTGCCTTGTCAAGACTCGATTTGCACCATTGTGGTTGTTGTGGAGCCACATGCGCAGTCGAAACAATCCGACAGACTGGATTCACTACAAAAAATGTCAAAATCTTGCAGTGTCCTGGTTGAGTTGGATCTGCAAGTTCAAATGATTGTTCTTTGTGTTGGTATCGATTGGGATAAACTACACATCGACCATTTGGTAACTCAAGCGATCCTATATACTGATTTCGCAGTGATTCTCGATCAGTGTCATACACATCTTCCCAATACATCTCAGATGCTTTTCGACGTTCAAACCGATCAACAGCCTCGCGGAAATCGAGTTTGGGTGTGGTGATATTTTCCACGTCGTAGTAATACAGTCCAGTTGCAACAATCGATTCGTTAATTGGACCTTCAATGTGCCAGTTTCCCTTGTCGTATTTAGGTTTGGATGGTGTCAGTTGAATGTTGGTGAGTTTGACAATGACTTGCAGATTACAACCACGCAGTGACACTGGCTTTGCTGATTCATATTTGGATTCAAAATGTTTCGGAAGTATTGGTACATACACGGAACGAGTGACTTGAGTGTCTGACCGCATACCATTATAATATGATCGGTTTGGTGATTCATATCCCTGTATGCCATTGCGAATATCAATATACTTGAACATTGGATCCATCGTTCTGAACAGACTTTCAAACATCGGGACAAAACATTTGAATATTTTGGCAATGCATTTGTACATGTCTCGATCCCATATCGGATTCAGATTGTTGATGTATGAGTTGATGGTCACACTGCCATCCTGTTCGACACGGAATTCACTCGGAAGACATTGGAACTTGCGTGATATAAACTCGGGATTGCCTCGAATGATGGGCGTATCTGAAACAAGTCGAGTCGATAACAATATATCGCATGGTACCATTTTGGTGTATTTGAGTCGTATATCCAGTGGTGCAATCATCGTTTGTCCATATACAACACTGTACATTGATGCATCAATCAGATTGTGCACCATTTGACCAGTGTTGTGATTTGATCCATGTTCAATATCCGATACATTTGTCATCAATCGCGTGTATACATTGTCAGGTATGCCATTGTCCAGTATATACGTCAGTTCAACAGGTCCTGGGACAATTGTGCCAAATCCATCACTGCCATTACAAACAAGCTGTTTGACAAAAACCCCGAGTTGTTCCAATGCAAGATTAAATGTTGATGGTGATATGTTCCGATCGAGTGAGTCAGCCCTCCATTGCTCCACAATATGCTGGTTTGTGATATCGATCCACCACATGGATTTGCAAAGTATAGATTGCAGATACTGGATATACTGCATCTCGACAAGTGTGCGTGCCTTTCCACGTACATATCCGGCCATTC